TTACTCCCCCGTCTACCTCGATAATTGGCAACCAGCATGGCTTACCTCGGATGTTGTTGCATGTTGCTGTGCGGTCGCCTCTCTGCTGCCACACTCCTCAGATGCCGCCCAGCTTCCTCCTCCCCGCCGCCGTTCGTCGCTGCTCGGTCCGTTGGCTGCTCCTGCCTCCTTCGCCTCCACTGCTACCTGGTTCGTCCGTCTCTGTCCCCGAAGTTCCCGACTCCTCGGTTGCCTCTCCCGAAGATCCGTCCTTCCGCTGCATCCTAGCCCGTCTTGTCAGCTTCTGCGTGTTTACTTCCATGGGCTCGTCTTGAGTTCTTTCTCTCCTCCGGAATATGTACGGGCACTGCCTAGCAATATGCCCTTCGGTACCGCACTCGAAACATCTAGTGCGCGGACATTGTGCAACTAAATGTCCTGGCTTTCCGCACCCATGACATTTCCTGTCTTCCCTGCGGGGTCCATTCCTCGGCCTCACTTGTCCGGATCTTTTCTCACCCATCCTGACCTTTTCTCCGCTCGGCTGTACCGTTTCTCTCCTCTTCCAACCCATCGGGGCTGTCCGGGGTCGTCTGTCATTCACCCGGATCCACCCTGGTTCTTCCACGTCCATCCGAGTCTCTTCTTCCCTTGCGCTTAGGTCGATCATTTCCTGGGCACACTCGAGGAATGATCTCTCCCTGGGCAATCCGTCTCTCCTTCCCGTTTCCTTCGCCAACTGGACCTTGAGTATCGTCGAGAGGAACTCCATCCTGGCTTCCACCTCTCCCACACTCATTGTTTCGCGCATTTTCTCCGTTATGCGGTTGTACTTTGCCACTAGTACCCCCGCATACTGGCCCCTCGTCTGACGTTGGGACCGGCGCTCCCTAAACATTTGGAAGATGTCTTCCTCCGGCGTCCATCTGCCTCCTCCGAAGGCCTTCTTCAGTCGCTCCTTAATCACCGGCCATGGTGTCTCCTCATCCGCCTGAATTTGGTTCAGGATGCTCCTCCTTACTCGGCACACCAGAGCCGCTTTCAACGCTTCCGCGTCCCCTAGGTTTACCAGGTCCTCCGCCACCTTTACCTCTATTCTAGACATGAGGCGGTCTCCGCCTTTCAGGAAATGGTTGAGCTCACCTACCTCGCCACCGAAGCGTTCCAGGTCCGCAATGGCTCTTCGAAGGTCCTGCGTGGTCGCCGCTCTTATTTTCATCCATTCCAGCGCGTTAGCGTGCGCTTCGGCCAATGTGTCCCTCGGTAAGGGAGGGATCTCCTGGATCTGCGGAATCTGCGGTACCTGAGGTATTTGAGGTATCTGAGGCACCTGAGGGGCCTGCGCGATCTGAGGTATCTGCGGAATTTCCTGAGGTTGAGGGATTTCCGGGGCGCTCAACACTCCCGGCCTGATTAAGCCCTCTGTTGGCATTTCACTCTTTCCTTATGACTAGAAGAAGAAAAAAAAACCAAGAGAAAAAAAATGACTTTAAAAAAAAATTACTTCTCTGTTCTCCTGTCGTAGTCCCGGGTTTCGGCACCAGTTAAGCGTCGGCGGACTCTAACAATAAAAAAAAAGAAAGGAAAGGGCTTGAAATGCAACACTCACGGTTTCAGAAAAGATACTGCTTTTATTCCTCTAGTAATCCTCCTTATATACATTTCATATGTTTATTTACATTCAGGACGGTATTAAGGCTGATATCGCCGGTCTCCGGTCTTTATCTTATATATATATATATATATATATATATATATATATTATATATATATATATATATATAATTCTGATAAAGGAAGACTGTAGACGATTGCTAAAACATTAGTTTATTATTAATAAAGAGAGGTATTGATAAATAGTAGTAGAAAAGATGGCAAAACTTACCTAAAACATTAGAATAGAATACAAGTCTCTTTCCATAGTTCTGATTGTTAAGTTAACTTATTAAACACTATATAATTTATAAACAGATGTTTTTCAATCTAACAGAGTAACCCTATATTATATTACCAAATCAAATCTATATTAATAAAAACGTTCGTTTGTTCGAAACCGGTAATCTCCGAAACTTCTTCACCGATCGCTTTGATCACTATTGATACAATGTTTCTATCCCATTCAGGTGTTTTTATATACATTTAATCGCCCTCCGGTCTTTCGTTTTGGAATGGCGGCCAAAAAAACCTTTGTCGTTATAGACTGTAGGGCCTAAACGGCTGTAACGTTTTTAATTAAACTTGGCTAAAGTCTTCTCCTTGAAGCCCTTTTAATTTATGTATATAACATTCTTCCCGGGAAAAAGTATGAAAAAAAGTTACGATGAATTCAAAACTATATTTACGAATAACTCAAAAAGTACACAATTTTTGTTTAATTATGCCCATCGTTATTTGAAAGCTTATTTCATTCCCTTCAAATAAAAAAAAAATCACTAAAATCGGACGATTCGATGTAGAGATATTATTTAAACATTTAGTAATTTTTCGTGGGATATTTAGAGACCGATTGCTTCTTATATAGAAAATTATATGTTGCGAATTCTAGAGTCGGAAAATCAGAAAATCTTTATATCTTTTCTAAGACTGAAACAACAAAGAATATCGCAAATTCACAAGTATTGTTACATAAAATATATTAGAAACATCTAATTTCTTTTCTACTTCTTTTTTTATTTAACCAGAATGAGCCAGAATAACGAGTGGCCGGGTACAGGTAGTTATGAATATAATTTATAATTTACATAAATTCTTTATACCGTAATGTTTGTAATATTTGTTCGATTTCCATTATTCTAAATTTTCCTGAAAACAAACATGAATCATGACCAGAATAAGACTAAATGTCACACATGTCCCCATAAACCTAAATTAGAAGATACTAACATGCCACATCATGTCTTCCATGATGAAGAGATTCTGTTACTTGATACAATAATAGCAACTTTTATTTGGGGGGAGGGTCCTCCCCTTCCTCGCCTTTAAGGCTTTACGGGGTTTTCCCGGGCCAGGGAGTGTGGGCGGAGATTTAAAAGACTCCCCCGGCACCGGGACGAGAACTATTTTAAATCCATTATCTCATATATCAGGTTGCTGGGCAACGGGGGTGCTGTGCACACGCGTTAGCCCATTCGGCCACCCCGCCCACATAAAAGTAACTTAAGACTTAACCGAAATTAGAATTTTTTTCATAATTGTTTGAAGGAAAATATAAAAATTAGCGTTATAGTAGACTTCCCCTTAATCGTCTCTCTGGATTTTCGGTTTTGCAGTAAAAAATTTAGTTTTGTCGAAATATTGATTTAAAACAATTAAATAATAAAATAAATAAAACTTTTCCATGTTTACTAATCACAAGAGAATACTTCAGACACGAGCAAAACAACCCTTGTTTTCTTTGAAAGCAATTTTCTTTGAAAAGCAATCCTTGTGTTTCTCTTGAATTTTAATAAGGGGTTATTAGCAAAGGGATTTTTATATAACGGTAAAAAAAAATCAAAGAAAAATAAACTATGTCTTATGATATACCATTTTTTTTTTTTATTCAATTATGCGAAATCAGCCAATATTTATTGAACTGTGTGCTCTGGTTATTGTATATATTTTTATATTATTAATATTTTCTAATTGTTTCAATCTAATTGTCAGTTAATTATAAAAATAGTAATAACATAATATTTAATGTAATAACATACATTTTTTTGTCGAGGTTTGTTAATTCATTTTTTAGATTAGCTTATTTTGATTATGTTTATTTCATTTCAGTTATTATTTATTTCTTAGTTAGCTTTACTATTATTATTCTATCTACTTTACTTTACTTTAAGTTTATTCTATCTTCTTCATTTTACTTAAGTTTATTCTACCTACATTTTTTAGTCAATGCCTTTCACCTACATATTATTTTATTATTATTATTATTCTATGTTTATAGTTTCTCATACGTATTGTTATCTATTTTTTTTCGTAGGTCTGAACTTTTGATCTAAACGTCGGCTTTTTTTTTACTGATCATCCCAACCGTTTTTCTTTTCAATCATTCACTACAGTCAACCATCAATCCACAATTGTTATATATGGTTTTCTTGTTTTTATCTGTATTATTCTCAGAAGACTTGATGAAGACCGGAAACTTTGGCCGAAACGAAGTAAAAAAATTATTTATTTGTGTTTCTCACTATGAAATGAAAATATTTTTACTATTCTGGGACTGTTTTTCCTTTAGAACAAAGTATAAATGCTAGGAAAATGCCTGTGTGGCCATACATTAAATTAAATATTTACAAAATAATATATAATTAAAAATAAAAATAAAGCAAGAAAAAAGAACAAAACAAAAACATACATATGTATATATAGACTAAACAAAGGAAAATAAAATAGCATAAGTAAACAACATGGTTTCTGGGGTATCTTAAGAAAATCTTTTATGTACATTTCGTGATCAGTCGGATCGGGAAAGGAGTAGTTGTTTAAAAAGGATAGATTTAAATGAGGAAACTGTCGGATATCGGAAGGGATAGAATTCCAAAAGAAGACGCTTTGAATTACAAAGGATTTGTCAAACGCAGGAGTTCGGTGAGGAGGGGGATAGAGGTCAGAAGTACGGGATCTGGTGGGACGGTATTGAATGGAGGGTTTGAATTGTAAGCTCTGAAGAATACAGGAGCGTCGTTGACTTCTAGTAGAAAGGTAGCAAGGAAGTACAGACGGCGATAGGTTGGATAGAGCCACTTCAACTCGGTGTAATACTTGGTGATATGCGTATCTCTTGAAACCACGAAGACTAAACGTATCGAGGAATTCATTAGGAAATTTTGGCTTGTAGTGCTCCCGAGAGTCCACCGTACACTATAGTCGAAGTGGATTTGCAACCCACTGCTAACCTCTCAATCAAACGTTGGCCGAGGTTAAAGAGTTTGCTAAAAAGGAAGAGGGATGGATATAGCTCTTTAAGGCTAAAAAGAGAGAGAAGTATTAGGAAGTTAGGGCTTGGTTTTACATGGATAAAAAATTATACATACTGCTTGTCATAGAAGAAGCTGGTGGCCCACGATATCCGAAACTGGAAAGAAGATACGAAGAAAGAGAACAACCATATCATGGATATCACCAAGCCATTCCTGGACGCGGTTGCCCTTCGGCCGAGAGGGTTCGTTATTGCTTTGTACCTGAAACATAAAAACGTTCAACTAAATCAAAAGTAAAAACATTAGTTTCAACTATAAATATTATTTTCTTATAGATCTAGTCAGAAAAGCCCTACAATTTTGGATAATTCAGGAAGGATCTCTTAAGATACTTCATGTGGATGAGTTATACAGAGTAGTACATGGCTGAATATAATACAATTTTTATTTTCTAATCTACTTAAATTTCTATTAATAATAATAATAATAATAATAATGCTTTATGTATTCTGTGGCAAACCCCTTTAGAATAATACAGAAAGACAAAAATGTGGGCTCAGAGATACATAAACAAAAATATAGAGTAAGTGAATAGTCAAATTTAAAATAAAATAATAAAAGAAATTATAGGTTACTTTCTAATTTAAATCAGTTAATAATAAAAAAAAATGAAAAATTGAAAATAAACATAAAGTAAGAATGATGAGGAACGATCTGATAATTTATATACATATTTACAGTGCTATTTACAATTTCATGGGAACTGGATGGATAAGAAATGATTGAACAGGCGAGTTTTCAAGGTAAGAAGGGTATTGGATTGACGGATATGGGAAGGGATGGAGTTCCATAGGGATGAGGATCGGATAATGAAGGATCTGTCAAAAGCAGCATGTCGGCGGGCCCTTGTGTATAAATTAGAAGACCGGGAAAGAGTATTGCGGGAACGGACCGAAGATTTGAATTGAAGGAGTTCGGAGAAGTATGAAGGACGGTGAGGTTGGATGACTTAAAAGAGGAATGATGCCAGGAAATACTTACGACGGTAGGAAGGGTAAAGCCACTTCAACTCTGCATAGAAACGGGAAACAGAGGCGTCCCTTGAGATCCCTAAGATGAATCGTACAAAGCAATTTATCAAACGTTTTAATTTTGGCTCGTGATCCTCAGAGATTTATTATTATTAATGTATGTAATATGTACATTTTGACTATTGCTGCACGGTATATGAGGGCGTCTCTGGGGGGCCTCGAAGCAAAACTAAAACGTTATATAAATTGCTTTGTACGATTCATCTTCGGGATCACAAGGCACACCTATGTCTCCCGTTTTTATGAAAACCTGAAGTGGCTTTATCCTTCTTACCGTCGTAAGTACTTCCTAGCTTACTTCCTCTTCCAGATCATCCAATCCCATCGTCCTTCATGCATCTCCGAACTTCTGCAATACAAATCCTCTGCTCACTCTCGTAAAACCCGTTCCCGGCCTTCGGATCTGTATATAAGGGCCCACCGAACCGCTGCCTTCGACAGATCTTTCATTATCCGACCTTCGTCCCTATGGAATTCTATCCCTTCCTGCATCCGTCGCTTCAATACCCTCCCAACTTTTAAATCTCGCCTATTCAATCACCTCCTATCCGTTTAGTCCCCATACAAATGTAAATAGATAATGTTAATATGTATATAAATTCTAAGGTCGTTGTAATTTTTTTTTTAATTGAGAAATTAGAAGAAAGCTTATATTTTTTTATTTATTATTCCTATTCTATTTTTCAGATAATTCTCTGAGGCTCTGAAGCCAACATTTCTGTCTCTGTATATTATTCTAAAGGGACTTGTACCAGAATAAATAAAATATTATTATTATTAATATCATTTATTTATTTATTTTACATCTATTTGCCACTGCATTGTAACCCATCCTGCTAATATGTTCCCGTTTGTTCTGTCTTCTTTTATTCTTGACATTAGTTATAGTGAGGTAGGATAACATTCACTCTATATGTACAAAAAAAAGAAAATTAATAGAAACAAAATAACAATAAATAATAACCAAAAAGTATACACAATAAATAAAATAAAATAACCTAAAAATAAGAAAATTAAAACTAAGCAAAAAACACATGCATACCTATATATATTTGTAGCTTATTAAATAAGGAAGGTTTTCTAAAAGTTGGTTATCAGTAAAATAATTGGATGGCGATAAAAAAAAAATTCGCGAATAATTTATAATTTGTTTTAAAAACAGAACATAACGTAATCTCGTCAAAAGTCCTCTTTAAATTGTTTTAATCATAAAAAATTCTATTTTATTTTAAAGTACATTTGGTCTAGCTTCTTTTGATGTCATGGTTATTCTCTTAAACTAAATATTTTTTATTTATTCCTTCCTATTAAACAATAGACGTGAGTTGCATATAAAAGTACAAAACTTTGATTTCCTACTTTCTTGTTGAGCCTCTATTAACTAAACTAAATCTAAGAAAATCTATCTCTATTAAATTTGCCTCCCTGCCTACAGGAGACTCTGCATTTTGAAAGAATACTGAAGGGTATCTTTCCTAGCGAAGAATAATTGTAATGTGAATTTAATAATGCAGCATAACTTTGTCATAAGGGTTATTCATTTTCACAATTTTTTTTTTTTTTGGGGGGGGGGGGGGGGGGTGTGGTGATGTAGATAAAAGTAATTAATTAATTGTTAGGTGATCATTTTTATTTCTTTCATTTAAGCGTACCCGAGGAAATTTAATAGAATTTTAAAATCAATCGAAATGCTTCAGCATTAGCAAGGAATTCATTCCTTTCTCATATTTTGTGACCAAATTAAATTTAACAGAGGAGGGAGGGGGACAGAAAAGAGGTAAGGCAGTGTCAAGCGTTTACTTTCCTATTTCTAAATAACCGATAGCTGTTCAATATTTCCAACAGCAGAAAATTTATTTAAATGAATGATGATAGAAGTTGAAAAGTGAAGGACGTCCAATTTCCTAGCAATTTCTTACCAATACAACCTGTACAAAAAAAATGTCATCCCTTAAAAAAAAAAATCGGAACGGTTAAAGACTTGAAGGAATACAATTCTCCTCTGACTTGAGTCAATTTAAAGTTATAATGATAAAAGATTCCCCATCAAACTTCCCTTTGGATTTCCATTTCAGAGAGCGATTCTCTCATTTTAAATTATATTATACACAAGCATTTCCATAATTTCTTGAATATGAAATTGTTTTTATGATAAGGTCTCCATTATTGTTTCCCCGAAGTAACATATTTTATTCTGTTTATGACGTATTCTCATAATGTTAATATTTAACATAATGAAGAAAGTTAATTTGAAAATTAAGGCTCAACTTAGTGTCCTCGTTTCAAAGACGGACATCTTTTTCATTTTTAAAAAGTTGAGAAAAAAAAACATTTTTGTAACGTAGCTTTAATTTAAACTATTTTTTTTTATGATTAAAGTTGAACATTCATAAATGAAATCATCAAAAACAGTTCGAATCAATCCTGTAAAACAAAAATTTAATTTTTCTCCCCTCTCTGAAAACAGATATTTGTCTCTGATATGATGCTATTCAGCTGTATTATAAAATGGTGCATAGCGCGGTATGCCATATCGGTTTTTTTACTTTCCTACCTATACTATTTAAGGAAAGTATTGCAATCGGGTCAAATTTCCGACATGCGGTTTTCGACGGATCTATATGTTTCAAAGCCACCTGAGTCTGAAAAACACATGTTTAGCCATTGACCTGTCTGTCTGCATGTGCCAAGATTTTCTCGGGAACTACTGAACCTATTTGTTGCTTCTTTTTTATTTTGTAGGGTTTTGACTACTGATGCCTGTGATAGACATTGGGTGCTCCGTGCGCAATAGCTGCTACGCAATAAATAAAAAACATGTTTTTATATAGACTGTATCGCGAAAACGGCTCTAACGATTTTGATGATACTTTCCAAAAATGTTCTAATAATTGTCCTTTCAATTTTCGTACACGTACTATATTCCCGAAAAAAATCAGGAAAAAAAGTTATAAAGAATCGAAAAATGTTTTGGGGCCCAACTCACTAATTATATATTATATGGTAAAATTTATAATAAAACTTTGGAAAGGTAATTAAATTACCAAAAAATCATTGGAATTGAACCAGTATTAGCGATGATACAGCTTATTCTATTTGCTGCACATGTTTTAATTTATTACTTTCCTTTTTGGACAACTATAAACAAAGTTACAGCTATTCAATTTCCATTCCATAAGATTACGAGTTCATATCCTGACGTCAGAAAGGGATGAATGAGAGAATAAAGATGACTAAGTGAAAGTAAGAAAATTTGTTGCCCGCATCACACAACCTTCACTATTACTTTACTACTTTTAACAGAAATTATTGTTTGACAAAATTAGGCTATGGCAAAAAGTTTTTGATCAGCAGTGTTAGAGAGTATTGAAATTTTTACACTGATCTATCTTAAGCCGGTTTACATTGCTTTAGTTTATGAACTAAATCGTACTCAAATCTTTGTTTTGATCAATTTTCAGGAAAATAAATCTAATGCAATTTTTTTTTATCTTGACGGACATATGTAAAGATATAAAAACTTTTCTGAAATAGGTAGGAAAGTCGTGTGAGTGGACACACCAGATTTTTTTAGTTTTGAAACAAATAATTTCTCATTTTTTTTTCCTTTTAACGTTATATCTTCACTCACATTTGACAGGAATACTGATAACAAATAGATATACTGCTGATTTAAGTAGTTATATTTAAGTGAAAAGATCTTTCAACCTTCTTTTACCTAAGGGTTCTATGTTGATTCTATTAAATAATCAATTATTCCATATTTTTAGAATATGGAAGTACCTAAAATTTAGAATTTTGAGTAATTTGATGGTAAAGAATGTTCAACCTATAATGTGTAAAAAAATGAACAAATAATTGGATAATCGCATTTTAATGATTAAATATTTATCTATACCGATAAAAACATATTAAAATACTAATGTGTGTGCTTTAGACCACACGGTAGAACTGAAAACAACAACAAGATGAGATTAATAATATGAAATATAAATTATGAATAATAGCTCATTATAAATGGAATGCTGAATATTTTACTCGCGTACAGTATATAGGTCCCATTTTATGTTTCTGAGATATTTTAATCCATGCTTCAATAAAACTCGTTATCATTTCTTTTAACACTATTTTTCCCATTTCGCTTCTTTAACATGCCAATTTAAAATAATAGCTCATTACAAAGAGGATGAAATTATGAACATTTCGCTTGCTGACAATATGCTGCTATGTATTGGACATAGCAAATAAGTTTTTAAAATTATTATGAGATGTCAATAACAAGGGTGAATGAAACCGACTTCTGACATCAAAAACAGCGTCAAGGGGGAGGAGCTGGTAGATAAGGACCGACCTATACCTGGAAAAGGCTTTGAGTAAAAACTAGTAACGGGTTAAGTAACTGGTTCCTTTTAGGGTGTTAACAGTTATTGTGAAGTAATAGGTCGAAGTTAAGAACCAATGAAAACCATCCTTGCCCCACCCTTAATATTTGTAGAAGAAAGAAAAGAGGTCTTATGTTGATGTCCGGCCTTGAGGATGGGTGTTTTCTTCCGGCTCGGGGACAGAAGCCTTGGCCCTACATAGACCATAAAGATCCTGGCAGAGTTTTTGGACCTAGACTTGACCAGATGACCTCGGATCAGCAGATGCAGCGATGAAATCTACCAACTACACCACTTCATATACAATAGATAAGTTTTATTCCCAACAATAAATTTACCAATGTTAAAATATTTCATAGCAATATAATTTTCAAAACATTCCTTCTGAAATCATAACTTCACAGTTAATTATTAAATTCATCGGATCATGTATTTAGTTTTTTGTAAATGTAATTTACATATATAGTTTAATAAACATAGAAATAAAATAAGGTTTTTTAGCATAAGTTATTTTAATTCTGCCACCCATTTATTTATTATGATGACCACATGTAATTTTGGTAATTAGAAAGCATGATAAACACAAACCAGTCTTTGAGAAAAGAAATCCAATTCATTAATCATGGACCAAATATATTATAGATCCAAATTTACTAATTTTTATTATTAATTTTTATTAAATAATTCTGGATAATTATCATCAATAATTATCCAATGGCATCACGAATAAAATTGCAATACCCCAAAACGTAACATTTTAATGCTCTCCATATTTAGTTTTTGAGATATTTTAATCCATATGTGTTTATTAGTCGACTCCAGCCGACTTTACCCGAGCGTTACAGATCGAAAATCTAACGGCTCAATCTACCTCACTCCCCATAAAAAAAGTACAAAACGCGCCTAAAGAATTTTACACTCAACATTTGACCATTTGGCATATTTTCTCTCTTAATATAGATTCAATATTATAATTCTATTAAGTCAATTATAAAAAAAAAATAAACTTGACGAACCTGTCGATTCCAATAGCTGTTAGAGTATACACAGACACCAACACAGAAGTGTGCTGCATTGTCATCACAACGGGACAAAACCATGGCTCGAATATCCACCTGCCTAAGAGGAACCTGAAATATAATATTGTTTTATTCATCCTAATCCTTGAATTAATTAACCATAATTAATTATAATCTTTTAAAAAAAAAAAGAGTACTCACATTGTGTAGGTGAAGGGTATAGAAAATACTGCCATCGCTACGTCAGACACAGCCAAATTGATGAGAAAAGACTTCAGCTCACTTGAAGACCTGAAGGGAGGAAAACAGGTTTTGAAAAGGGTGTTTTAGAAACAATGGTTATAATTAACTAACCTTCGTGTAATTAATTCTATCTCGGCTACCTATCCATCTTTACAGGAAGTTGAATGATTTCGAACTTTTGATAATTAACACATATATAAAATATATAATAGGATGGATAAGTCTGAAAAATAATAATAATATTTAATTTTTTTTATTAGAAAGTAATATTAACCAGTCCAGTGATGCGGTTGAGAGAGTAGCGCAGGGTTCTCCTGAAGTCCAGCTTTTCCAGAGAACAAACCTGCTTCGGAGTTATTCCACCGGAACTATCGGATCCTCCGTTTTTAAGCCCAAAAACGTACTATTTTCGAGATAACGCAAGGCATAGGGTTCGCATCCATACAACCTTACGTTAATTGTAATTCTATCATTGAATACATGTCTCATTTCGTCGACTTGAGGTCTCTATGATCGAGAGAGGAGGAGTTTATATTATCTATCGGTGGTGTTTTTGATTGGCTAGCCATATCATCGTTAATTTTTTACTAAATCTCAAGATTTAGCTACCAATTTCGAAGGCTTCCTTCTCCTTCAGTCGAGCAAAATAGTTTAATCACCCCGAAAATTCAGGCAAACAAGTTATGAAACAAAACAAACTTTATTTGAGAATAACTAAAAAAATACACACTTTTCCCTTGCCCATGGTTCATGGCCCATGGTCATGCCCATGCTTATATAAAAGATTACTAAATTCCCTACAAAAGTAAAAAAAAATCATCGAAATCGGACAATTTTTAGCAAAGATTTACTTACTGAAATTTGTAAACATGTTGGTTCCAAACAGAAATGAAGATTTAAATTAATTTTTGTTTCCTTTGTCGATTATATTTATCGATAAAGTAACGTTTGATGTCTTTATCTTTTAATACGTTGCATTATTTTTTTTTCTTCTTAATATGGCATATTGATGTTGTGCGAATTTTTCGCACGGGCCTACTAGTGTAATATTATTTAATAAAGATAACGTTTTAAATTAAAAAATGATTCAATTGTCCAACTTCCTTGCAATTGACGAGAACTGGGTTGTCTCCATAACGGCTTTGAGTTAAATGTCAGCTGATGAAATTGACAGCCACATCAAAGGCCTTATCGCGGTCAAATATTGATCCTGTCGGACTTCTCCGATTTCATCCATCCTCCGAGTATTGCCACAATGCCACAAGTCTCTCTATTAATCCATAGTTCTTCTATTGTCCATACCGAGAAAAAGAAATAGAAGAAAAGAAAGATGTTTTTAGTTTTTAGCAACGCAAGACGTTAACCTAGATCTTAATCTAATCCAGTTAGGATGATAAGGTTTCAAGTTGGCTCTAATGGAGAACATATCAAGTTCAACCCACGCCTAACACTGTCGATTGAAGGATCTCCTTTCGCAAAACGGATTAGTTTCAAACTTGGATGAGGTCACGTTAATGAAATTTTTTGTTTGCGTGTCCATTTTTTTTTTTCACTTCTTGACATTAGCAGATCCTTTTTTTGAAAAGAGGGGAAGAACGGACCTTTTCTTTTTTTTTAATAAAGGTAATTACTCTGGAAGAAAAAAACTACCTTTACGAAATTATATTTAAGTGGTCCTTCAAGACAACTTTTTTATTGAATGTTGCAACATTCTAACTCATGGACATTGAAGATAAAAAATAAATAGATAAAAAAATCGATGATTACAGAAATAATAATTTTAGAGATAAATTCCTTATATTTTTTTCTTAAAGAAAAATAGTCCGTGGTACAGACTCCTTTTTTATCAAATTAAAAACATCCACCTGAAACTTCGTGAATAGCTTCATCTCATCGTAGCCCACGAATATTATATTTATAAAAATTCTCGGAATTTTCAATCTGGATATTATCGAACTTTTTTAATTTAATTAGTTACTAAAAATTCAGAAATATACATTTGCTTTCCACTCCAATCATACGATAATTTGATGACAAACTCGAGAAAAATAAATGGCTTTCAAAAATATTGAGCCGTTCTGAGTGACCTATACGTTTATTTTAAACGTAATAAATTTAGTAAGAATAAATAAGTCGGTCACCCGATTTTTAGTTTCTGGGATATTTTAATCCATACGTAAAATATTTTAAATATGACGAACATTTAAAATAATTATAACCAGCCAAAACATGTACATAAATTATACAAAATCCATTTGCCTAGCATTGCACGCCTAGTCCAGTACACACAAGAATCCTTCCAGGGAAGAACAGGAGTTGTTTAATTTCTCTATATTTTTTTGCTGGTTATAATTATTTTTAATGTTTTTTTTTTAAATGGAATAGTGTCTATAGTCCGTTTTACAGACACCTTTATATCATATTATTAACATCCACTTAAAACTTCGTGAATAACTTCATCCCATCGTAACCTACACATATTTTATTCACGAAAATTCTCAGAATTGGGGCGTTTTCAATTTGGTATCGGCAAACATTATATATTTAATAAGGTACTAAAAACTCATTTGCTTCCACTTGAATCATAAGATAATGTCATCACAAAGTCAAAAAAAAAGATGACTTCCACACCCCAAAATTTCAAAATAACGAGGTTTTACAGGACAGACGGCCAAATATTTTTGTAGGCCACATTTTTTCTCGATTTTGTTATCTAATTATCTTACGACCCTAGCGGAAAGCAAATGAGAATATACCAGTTTTTAGTACCTAATTAAATAGACAAAGTTTAGCCCCCCCGCCAGATTGAAAACGCCCCAATTCCAAGAGTTTTCTTAAATAAAATAGTTGTAGGTTAAGATGAGATGAAACTATTAACGAAGTTTCAGTCGGGTGTAAGTAATTTGATAAAAAAGGATCTGTACCATTTAGAGCTCACATAACTAAAAAAATATGGACCAATACAAAAAAATATTTTCAATTCAATTCAAGTCCTCAGTCCACTCCCTCACCACAAGATCTCGACCTTCCGACCTTTTCATTCCTTCTCACAGATCTGCCTAGTTCCAAAACTCCTTTATTGCTCGTTCTGTTAGTTTCTGGAATTCCCTTCCTATCAAAATTCGACATTCTTCATCCTTATCTACATTCAAAACCCTCCTATTCCAATTCCTGTCCCAAAAACAGTCACACACCAGCTAACCTTTTATGTAAAATTACATATTATCTATAAGAACATATTCACATATAGCTCATAACCTAAATACTTATTATAGATTCGACTTTCTTTTTTTCTTTTCCTTTTTCAACAGAAACAGATTTTACTGTTAAGAAGAATTTACATATATTTTTTCTGTATTTTTTCTAAAAGGGTTTATTTATATTTTAACATTGTACATAGTTTTAAGTATCTTAGTATGGTTTCAAGAGTTTTTTATATAGATTTTTTTTTTTTGGTATATAGTATGTATAACCAATATATATTTTTTTTTAATGATCTATCTTTATCTTAACTTTTAATGTTTGTTTTTATCTGGCCAGATATAAAATTTTAATTTCTGTACCTTTTTTGTTATTCTGAAGGGACTTCGTCCCAGAGTAAAATTATTTTTCTATTTCTATTTCTATTTCTATTTTAAGAGTGCTATAGCCCGAAAGCTCTATTCTCCCTCCCCCTCCGTTAATCCAGTGCTTCGTGGCATTCATTTGATTTCATCACACTTTATTACTTTTCAGTAATTCTAGAACTTAAACATTATTTAGTTATTTAATTGGAACTACGAAAAAAATTACAGAAATGTTTTCCTGATTTTGGGACATTGATACTCAATCAAGATTCAAAATTTAATAAAAATGACTCAAATAAATAAAAACCTATCATCCAAAACTACTTTTGTTAACAATTATCCGATGGTACTTATCTTTTCAAAATTTTTAATTCTTAAAATTTCAAAATATTGTCTTAAATTATTCTTTTTTTTTTTAAATAACTACCGAAGTGTATTGATTATTTCATACATGGTTCATTCTAAAGGATTTTATTTTGGAATCACGTGAAAATAAATTCTAAATGTTAAATAATTCTTTATATTATATCACAACTTGAATGAGTAACATATTTATTTATTACTTTGAATTTTATCAATTTATTGACTAATAAAATAAATCATTAATAATGTATTATTAATAATGTCAATAATTCAACAATATATAGCAATTTATTTGGATGAAATTTTGTTTAGTTGACAAAAAGATAGTGTTCACTATAATATTAATACTAACTCCGACGTAATTGAATTAAGACAGCTTACAATCAAATAATTGGAATATAGTTCTTTGGTCAATTACACTACATTTTAGAAATGCAAAGCTCTTCGTATTATTCAATAAAGGTTTTTTTGTTTATTTTTCCGAAAGCACTGAATGAATATAAAAAATTTAAAGTGAAAGTTTAAAAAAATTAATTTAAAAAAAAAAAAGAATCATATCCTTCATAAGAGAGGAAGAAGAAGAAGAAAAAGTCTTTTTATTTATCAAAATTACAAAATATAAATTGCAAAACAATACAAAATAATATTTTTGGATTTAAAACCGAAAATCACACGTGCTACATGGTCTGTTGACCGTCAGAGGAGCCTGTGTTTCATAACAAAATTATATTTCAGTCTATTTATATACAAATACTTAATAGGAAAATAAGAACAATTATATTTACAATGTCAAATTTATAAAAATATTTTAATTACAAAAACAGTACTACCATAATTCTTCAATTTATTAATTGTTAAATCCTGTGGTGAGCATTATTCTATAGGAGAAAGCAGACTTGCAGTAAGAAAAATATATAATTTATTCATTATTCTTGAAGCTTATCATAAATCTAACCAATATATGTCTGAATATTAAAAAAAAACTTCAAATGAATTATCCCTTTTGCACCATCGGTTGTATTATTTCTAATATGTTTTTATTGAAAACAAGTTGAAATTTGACTTTTTATGCATTTTTTTTTTAATTATATTTAACTTTAGGAAATTAATAATTCTCAC